CGCGTGTGTGACGCCACTGCCAGGCCTTCGGGGGTGACCAAGACGGAATGCCCGGCACCTGCCCCTCTGTCCCCAGCACTCCCGTGGCCTGGACTGTGTGAGGGCTGTATGCACACACATGTACGTACACACGTGTGCATGCACACGCGCGTTTAGGTGTGTGAGCAACGGCGTGTCCAGATATGTGAGTATACGTGTGTGTGTGTACGTGTCTGTATTAGCCTGTTAACTCATTCATCTAATGTTAATTTTTGAGAGAGAGCGAGGGGGGGCAGAGAGAGAGGGACATAGAGAATCCCAAGCAGACTCGCACTCCCAGCACACAGCCTGATGCGGGGCTTGATCTCACGGGCCCTGGGATCATTTCTGAGACAAAATCAAGAGTCGGATGCTAACCGATGGAGCCACTCAGGTGCCCTTAACTACTTCACGTAACTGTGTCTCAGAACAAGTGTGTATCTGGCCCGTCCTGAGCGCTGGGACACGTGCGTGAAGGGGAGAGCAGTGTCCTCACACTTGAGGACTTTGTATCTTCACAAAGAGAGAAGTGGCTTCGCTCGACGTCAGGCACAAGCCTCCTCGGGGGGCCTCTCCGTGGAGGGGACGTGGGCAGCAGGCACACGAGCAGCCGAGGGGCCGGGTGTGCCTCGGGGGGCAGCGCTCAGGCAACGGGCACCACTCATGCCCAGGCCGCTGCTGAAGCCAGGGGTGGGCGTCGGGCCCAGAGCCCCTGACGGGGACGGGCTCGTCGGGATTATTGCAGGTACAGGCGGCCGTCGCGAAGGTGGGGCAGGAGGGTGAGGGGCCTCGCCGACGGCCGTGCTGGTGTGCGTGAGCCGTGTGCGCGGACGTGTGCTGCGGACAGCGGTCCCAGCTGTGCCCCGTGCGCGGCTCAGCGGGGGTGCCTGGCGCTCTGCAAACACGGCTGCACACGTGGTTCTGCGCGGGAGCTCCCACCAGGCAGGCAGGATGGGGAAGCAGGGACGCGCCCCCCAGACAGCAGCGCCAGCCAGTCAGGGCGCCCCCCCCAGGCCTCGGTGGGCCCAGGGGCGGCAGCACCAGCCTCTCCCCTCCCCTTCGCTGCCCGTGTTCCTGGCCTCGCGGGTGGGGCCGTGTCCCAGCGCACGGCCGGCTCCTCGGCCGATGCCCGCCGTGATGTGTCTGGGGCCTGGACCCCGGCTCTGGAGGGACCTGGCTGCTGCCGTCCAGGTGGGACACGGGGTGGCCCCGCTGGCAGTGCTTTGTGGCCCAGGCTTCAGGGGCCGAGGCTGGGGCAGCGTCCTCACGGACACGTGGATCTCTGCCGCGTGCCTGCGTGCAGGGGCCCCTGCGGAGGGCTGGGGGCTGCACTGCGGGGGTGTCCTGTGGCTGCCGGCCGCCGCCGGTGCAGAGCCTCGTCTCCTTGGTGACGGAGCGACCGTTCCGTGTGCCCCCCTCTCTGTTACGAGGTTCAGTGCATTTGCTTTAGGAAACGGCTTAAAGATTCTTCCCCACCGAGTCGCCGCGTGTGCGGTGGCCGCACGGCAGCCGAGTCCGCCGCAGAGTGACGTGGTCTGTCAGCGGCGGTGACTCTTTGGGGGCCGTCGTGGCGCACACTTGGCTGAGAGGTGAGATATTAGGAAAAACAGTCCTGAGGTTTTGGGCGGGAACGGAACTGGTTTTACTTCCTGAAAATAACCCTCTGAACGGTGTGCGAAGGAAGGGGAGCGGGTGTAAGGTAACCGAGGCCCCGGTGTGTCGTAGCTTGTCTTCCTCAACTTCTCTTGAAGTCTGTTCAGTTGCACCACATACACCCCGGTGTTCCAAGCAGCCGGGGACCCGGGGTCGTCAGCGAAAACGTCCCACTTGAGGAGCTCAAGTGTCGTGTTTCCGGTGAAGCATAAAATAGATGGTTTCTAATTTCTTTTCAGCTTCGGCCAGCACAGCCACACCTGTCCCCCTGCCACACATCAGTCCGGCCCTTGCGCAAGCGTCCCGGCGCGCGGTCCCGAGAATGTGCGGTCGCCGCACGTGCTGGACGAGCCCGTCTGTTTAGTTCTCACAGTAACAAGGGGGCCGCGTGCATCAGAAAGCCAGCGCCACGGTTTCCTCTTTTAAACCGTGTTACGTGATTAAGTGGCTGATTTTCATAATGAAAATACATAAATCTTTTATGGTTTATCAATCTCTTTAAAAGTCATAGTGCTTTTTCTTTATAATAAAAACTTGACTATTATATTTTTTCTATGCCTACATAAGATATATGCTTTTTGGTGATGTAAATACATAATGCTAGACAGCTAAATTAATTGGAAAATTAACCATGTAAAGCTTTAACTAGTTTTCTAATGAAAACATATTATCACACAGAAAATGTGAGGTTCTCGGAAATAATGGTCACTGAAATCCATGATTGCCTTAAAATATATTGCTTTATTATCTTTAGATCTTGTGGGGTTTTTTTTTTGAAGAAATGAAATGCCTATGGGTAGAAATATAATTCCACCCTTTCTGTCTCCTTCTTTGGTAACCACGACTGAATTTGGTGTGAGTCTTTCCCAAGGACGTGTTTGGAAATATCTTCTCTGTTGTGTGGTACGTTGTTCTCTTACATAGCAGCAGCAAGCTGTGCATCTCTCTGCTACCTGAGTTTTGTTCCACATTTTAGGTATGAACTTCATCCATTTCCGTGCATTTGTGATGTGCACATTTAAGCCTATAAATTTCCCCTAAATACTGCGTTAGCTGCATCTTCCTGTTTTTAGCATGTGGTATTTTTATTACTTAGCAGTAAATATTTTCTAATTTGCATTATGATTTTTTAACCTAGGCTTTATTTAGATATGCTTTTAGGTTTCCACACATGTGAGCTTGTTTTCTGTAATCTTTTTGTTGCTGATGTCTGATTTTACGGTCTTGCGCCGGAGCATATGCTCTACTAACACTGACTGTCTCCTGGCTGCTGAGATCTTTGTATTTATTGAGAAGCCTGGCTCTCTGGCTGATTTCTATGGGTGTTACATGTGTGTGGAAAGAATGTGCTCTTGGAACGTATCTGCATGGGTGTCTATTGGCCCAACATTATTAATTATATTCAAATTATTCAAGATTTACTAATTGTTTTTGTACTCTTGGTCTCCTTTTTTATTTAGAGAAATGTGATTAATATCTTTGTCTCTATGATTGTAATCTTGTTACTTCTTGCAATTCTACTAATTTTAGCTTTATGTATTTATAGGCTTTATTATTGGCTATATTTATGTCAGACTTCTTATATTTTATAATATTTATAAACTTTTTTTAATTAGGTCTTATTTGCCTTATATCTATTTTCTGGTACTTTTATAATCAGTCTTGCCTTCTTTTATTTAATATATGCTGTTTCTTTCACCTTTCACATTCGGCCTTTAAAAATAATATGTTTTAAGTGGTTTTTTTTGAAATCCAACTAAAAATTTTTTCTTTTTTTAACTTGTTTAGTCTGTTTGCAATTATTGTGATTACTCATACATTTGATCTTATTTTGTGCTTTCTCTTCTATGTTGAAGAAAAAAAACTTCCACTCCATTTATTTATCATGAATTTTCTTTGCTTCATTTCTTCTTCCTTAGCCTCTATTGGACTGATTAAAACCATTTATAACTCTCTTTTTATCCCTGTGAAAGCGTTCAGTTTTTTTACTGGTTAGCTTCAGGAAATTAGCAATATTGGAAGGTACTGTTACTATATAGTCATTTGTCCATCTGCCTTTCTGTCAAACTAGATCTCTGTTTTATTCTTCTCACACTCAGTGCCTTGCGAAGTGCCCAGCATTTAGTAGATGATTTCTGAATGTTTGCTGGATGTCTGTTGAATTGCTGGATGGACCACTAATCCACGTTGAGGTTAGGAGCTGGGTGGCCGTGAGTGGACTCCTGATTCCTCTGTCTCATGTTTGTCACCTGAAATGGGTATAAAATAGTTTATGTCTCATAAGTTTGTTGTGAGGATGAAATGTTCAGTGTTTAGAATGCTGTCTGGTAGAGTTAAGACTCTCTAAGTATTTGTTATTGTTATGGATTTATGTAAATCTTCATTTCCTGTTGGTAACTGAAGAGTCACTTCTAGGTATATGCATATTGTAAGGATAAAAGCTTTCAGATATATTTCATGAAATTTTTCTTAGTAATTTGGATATTCTCGACATGAAAGGGAGATGGACATTGTATGAACCATAATATATTTAGTGTTTGGGGCCAAAAATGGTTCTGTAGATGGAGTGCACTCCATTCCATGAGACCTTTTAAGTCGCTAGAGCACCAGGGGAGGTGACGATCAGATCAGAGGCAGGTCCTTAGAGGGGCCCCGCCTGGTGACACACGCGCCTGATTTCACACAAGCCAGTGCACAGACAGCTGCATCGGGTCTTAGGATTCGATAGTCCGCTGGTTGATAACTGACCTCAAGCCTCGAATGACTTAACAAGGGCATCTTTCAGATTTACTGAAGATGTATTATGATCTGCAATTTATTTTTTTAAACTTTTTTTAAATGTTTATTTTTTTTGAGAGAGAGAGACAGAGTGCAAGAGGGTGAGGGACAGAGAGAGAGGGAAACACAGAATCTGAGGCAGGTTCCAGGCTCAGAGCTGTCAGCACAGAGCGCAACGCGGGGCTCGAACCCGTGAACTGTGAGATCATGACCTGAGCCGAAGTCGGACGCTTAACCGACTGAGCCACCCAGGCACCGCCATGTATACTTTAAAAATTAATTTTGGTGTATTAATATTGTAGTCTTTTGATCTTTTAAAGTACTTTTATAACTTTCAGTAGCGTTTCATATTTGGAAAACATACACCGATAATTCCCAAGGTCAAAGTGTACCATTACTAGTTATCCTTAAGGAGGTTCTTGGAGCCCAGTTCTGAAATTGTTATAAATAAGAACAGAAACTTTGTGTTAATTTCTTACTTTAGATTAGTATCATGTTTATTAACTCAGCCTTTGAAGAACGCACCTTGTTTCTTCCCTGTACAATTACAGGGATCATCCTTCACGACCCAGCAATGTCAGCTGTATAACCTTTTTGCCACCACAGCTGTTGGCGATGGGATAAAGCTGTGGGACTTGAGAACCCTGAGGTGAGGCCTCCCCGGCTACGACTGCAGCTGGGGCCCGGGGCACATGTTCTGTTAAAGCTCCCGGCGCGCTTGGCTTAGTTTCTGTTTCTCCCAAATGGGACAAGGTTGCGGTGAATCTGTTCACACTGACCAGTCTAAGGAAAGTGATTTATACACAGAACAGGCCATGTAAATTTGAAATGTTAAAATAAAAGGTGCTGATCTTTCCTCTGCTGCGTGTGTGACCTGTGGCCCCTGAGAGTCAGAGATGTACAGGGAGGTGATCAGGTGTCATAAACTACGGCTTATACATGTACGTTCCTGCTCTGTAAAAATATACGTATTTGGTAATTATACAGGAGGAATAAACACTAAATTTATGACGTATGCAACAAAATACGAGAAGGGCTTGTGTGTGTATATGCACACCCATGGATTCACAAGGGCAGAATTAACAGTCTTCCCTCTTATCTCCAATCATTACACACACACACAAGCCCCTCCGACGTGAGGCGGGGATGTTCCCCGAGGCTCTGGGACAGGCGCCGGGGCTCTGGAGTCAGGGCTCGGTGTGACCGTGCAGCGCCCCCGGGGCCCAGCCCCATGCGGGTAGCGAAGGCTTTCTTAGGGCGGCCCTGGCCACCCCGGAGAGTGTTGGTGTTGGGCATTTTCTCAGTAAAGCATCGATTCCCTGGCCCACATTACGGCAAACAGTTGCGAGCCCCACACCTCATCAATAGCTGGTGTGGCGCTTAACCAGCCTTGATAGAAGGTTGCGCCTCCCAAAGTCTTCGAATCACTGACACAAGTAGCTTACGATTTTAGAACTTGTTTCTATGTTTAAGGGTCTCTGGAACAGCCTGCTGGCCATGTAAGAATTCTCACGTGAGAGTGTGCTCTCTCTCTCACTGCTGGTTTGTTCGTTGTTGTATAGATGAGCCACAAGTCAGTGTCTTTTTCCTCATTTGTGTTAAAAGTTAAAACATTGGTTTTTTTCCCCTGATATTTCTTCTTTTTCCTGTAGATGTGAACGCCGTTTTGAAGGACATCCGACCCACAGTTACCCATGCGGAATTGCTTTTAGCCCTTGTGGACGCTACGTGGCTTCTGGTGCCGAGGACAGACACGTATGTACTGCTCTGGCGGGTTTGTTGGTCTTCAGCCGTGAGACCCACTCATTCCTGTGGAAACTGTTTAATATTGTTGCACATTAGGGTAAAAAGTGTTTTTAAACTGATGAGAAGATACTACACTTGATCTTAGCTAAAAGGCCGAGAAGTGATTAAAAAGTGTTTTTAAAAAGCTTGGTTATTGGCCAGTGTTTGAGACTTGCAAGTGGTAGTATTTATTTTGAAGTTTATTTGTTTTGAGAGAAAGAGAGACCACGAGGGAGGGGCAGAGAGAGAGAACCCCAAGCAGGCTTCCTGCCGTCAGCACAGAGCCCAACATGGGGCTCAGACTCCCGTTTTGAGGGCTCATGACCTGAGCCGAGATCAAGAGTCCAGACACTTAACCGATTGAGCCACCTGGGCGCCTCATAAGTAAGAGTATTTTAATAACAATAATGTAGGAGTTTTGAAAGCCCCTCGTGTTATTTTTGGTGAAGCGTGATTATTTTAAACCCTAGTCATTCATTCATTTCTTTATTCGTTTATCAGTCATTGCACAAATTGCTTTCCGTGTGAAAGGCATGGCTACATGCTGTATTTTGTGTGAATTGCCAGGTAACAACATTAATAAATAAAATACCGGACCGAAGTATTTAACTGGGAATGCTCCTTTTTGGTATCTTAGGGGACAATGTACTTTATTTTTATTTTTTCTAACGTCCCGAAGAAGAGTCTTTATTTGTGGGGCTTAGGAAGGGAACACGCTCCAGGGAAAGGGACTTGGGAACGGGCCCCGGTAGTGAGTGTTTGGCAGGGTCCAGGCTGCAGTCTTCTGTGCTTACTGGCGCTCGCTTCCAGGCTGTGAGGACGGCTCCCCCAGCCACTCTGTCGCCCCCGCTGGGCCCCGTCATCCTGCCCAGCTCTTCAGGATCACGAGTTTCCTAACTGCCAGTGACTTCCTTGGGGGTGACTTGTTCCCTGTGTAGTCCGGAACCTCACATTTGGGACACAGTATCGAGGGGGTTGTCCTCAGGTTGTCCTCAGGGATTTGGCTGTTGGCGGGGCTGGAGGTGACGGCGCTCCCCTCAGTCAGCCAGGCCAGCTGGTCTTCTGTGGTGGTGTCGCACCCCAAGCGCCATATCGTCCGCAGTCAGTGGCTGCACGGTGGCCCAGGGGGTCTCCCCGAGCAGCTCGCGGGTCACCGTCGCCTCGGGTGCCCTCCGGGTAGGGCCGCAGGTCACTCTCGGTCTACGTGCTCCCGTGGATGTGGCCGTGCTCCCCAAGCTCCTGCGGGGCAGCGCTGGGGACATGAACACCCATGTTCTCCAACTCACCGCGGGTGTGTTTTCCTGTGCAAAAGCAGCACAGTCCAGTTTTACACGGGGAACAGCTCAGCTGGTGGCACGGAGACCCAGGACACACCCCTCCTCCCGCCGATTAGTAACGGGTCATCAATGGGCAGAGAGGTCACGTAGCTTCTTCAGTGGACAGGGTCACGGCTGTCTGGGACCTCTGTGTGATCTGCGAGAGCGTGTGCATCAGAAAGACGCCCCTTCCCTGGGCTTTGCGCTGGGTTTGTCAGTCTGCGAGCGGGAGAGGCTCTGAAGTCCCGTGTGAGCAGCTGTAGCCGGTGGATGCTGCAGGTGCCGAAACCAAGTCCTGATGGAGGCGTTTTCCACTTTCAGCTTTTTCTGCCCAGGAACCCCCTTCTCTCTCTAGCTCTTCTTGTAGCTTTTAATATTTTTCATGCTCAGATCTTGCCAGTCACTTCTCAGTGGCTCAGAAAGTGGTTGACCATGTGACTGTCTGAGAACTGATAGCCAATTTTGACACTCAGAATGTTTCGGTTGGTTTTCACACTCATCCAGTAAAAATCACAATCCTCATTTGTCACTTGGACCCACCTACTCTTTTCAAAGTTACTTATCAGCACTGACATCTCAGAATCAGTGACTCATTTCACTTTTCCTGCCAAAAACTGTGGGTACTTAATGGAGTTAACAGGAATGTGCAGTTTCTCTCTGTCAGCTAATCCTGCCCCAGGGTCTAACCTGATGTCACATTGTTTCCTGCCACCCCCTCCTGTGGGTGCACAGTGTGGGGGAGCACTGAGCAATGTGGAGCAGGGTGCCCGGGCCGTACCTCAGCTGGCCCCAGCCCCAGTCCTGCCCCCAGCCTGCAGATGCCTTTGAGTATACAGATTTAAGTAATTTCTGAAAAAGCTACAGTTTTAAATATTAGTTCTGTTCAATTATGGTCTGAAAAATATTTTTCTGGGACTCCAGTTATATGTAGGTTGAATCTCTTTTGCCCAACTTTTGTATCTTTCATCTTGAATGTTTTAATGATTTTCTTTACTCAGGTATGGATGTATTTATTTTTCTCCTTCATACTCTTTTTCCATTATTGTGCTCTCTGGAGTATCTACTTTCTCCTATATTCATTCAAATTTGGCCTTCTGAAATTCTGAAAATATCTGAATTTTTTTTCTAATACTTTCTTAACACTTATCAGTTTTCATTTGACATACTCCTATATCTAGTAATTTTATTTCTGAGCTCTTCTATTTCTACTTTAGCAGTTAAAATTTATGTGTTTTCTTTTTTTAAAATGTTTATTTAGAGAGAGAGACAGCATGAGTGGGGGAGGAGCAGAGAGAGAGAGGGAGAAAGAATCCCAAGTAGGCTCTGTGCTACCAGCTTGATGTGGGGCTCGAACCCACAGACCATGAGATCATGACCTGAGCTGAAATCAAGAATTGAATGTTTAACTGACTGAGCCATCCAGGTATCCCAAGTTTGTGTGTTTTTTTAATTTCTGTCAGTTTATTTTCAAATACATTGTTAGTTTTCATCTGTTTAGAAAACACATTTTTCCTCTGTGTTCTCTTGTCTGAGAATTTCTTTGGTTCATGCTCATCTTTTTGTATTATAGAAAGGATTGTCCTATTCAGAGTTTGTATGATAGATGCAATAGAAAGCAGGACATATAGGGGAAATAGACACAAAGTTTCAATAGGTGATTCTTGTGTACCACATAAAGATATTTGGTCTGTATTCTACATGATACTGGAGAACGAGCAGAATATTTTAAGCAGAAAAGTATCATGATCAGCAATAATTTGTTTTGTAGCCATTAAAATAAGTTCGTTAAGGTCTTCCATTATAATTGAGGATTTTTTTTTCTTCTTAGGGTTATATTACTTTTGCTTTTTATATTTTGAAACTGTCTTATCAGGTGCATACAGATTTAGAATTATATTTTCTATATAGCTTAGCATTGTTATCATTATTAAAGTCCCTTATTATCTCTAGTAATGCTTTAAACCTTAATGTCTACTTGAGACTTATGTGTTCTCACATCAGCTTCATTTCCCGTCTTTCTATTTTCAATGTTTCTGTGACCTTATACTCTTAATTTCAATTATTATAGTTTCCAGCTGCACTCAGAAATATGTTGAATAAAGGAAAATGATGATCAAAAATTTCAAAGAAATTTAGTGTATATTTTGAAACCTGAGATGGTTTATACTTCCAGTGTTGTTTTTGGTTGTTAGAATTGCTTTCAGTGACCTACAGATTCAATACAATTCCTATCAAAATATTTTTACTAAATTAGAACAAATAATCCTAAAATTTATATGGACCACAAAAGACCTTGAATAGCTGGGTTTTTTAGTGGCAGAGGAAACATCCAACATGAAATAAAATCATAAAATGAATGTTCTCTTCATTTATAAGTACAGCTGACTGATAATGTTGGGGTTGGAGCACTGATCTCCTACACAGTCAAAAATTCATATGTAACTTTTTTTTAATGTTTTATTTATTTCTGAGAGAGAGCCAGCATGAGCAAGGGAGGATCGGAGAGAGAAGGAGACACAGAAACTGAAACAGGCTCCAGGCTCTGAGCTAACTGACAGCAGAGACCCTGATGTGGTGCTTGAACTCTTAAACTGTGAGATCATGACCTGAGCTGAAGTTGGATGCTTAACCAACTGAGCCCCCCCAAAATTTACCTACAACTTTTGCTTCTCCCAAACCTAATTATCAATAGCCTACTATTGACCGACGTATGAAAACATGAACAGTTGATTAACGCATATTTTGTGTGTTATATGTATTGTGTAATGTGTTTTTATAATAAAGTCAGCTAGAGACAAGTTATTAAGATCATAAGAAACAGAAAATATATTTGCAGTACTGTAGTTATCAAATAAATCTGTGTATAAGTGGACAGTTTAAACTTGTATTCAAGGATCAACTGAACAGTTGGACAGAACTGAGATCAATACAATGATTATATTAGTGAGTTCAAGTAGAATTAATTCCTCTTTTTTTTTTTTTAATGTTTTGCTTATTTCTTAGGAGAGAGAGAGAGACAGCATGAGCAGGGGAGGGTCAGAGAGAGAGGGAGTCACAGACTGAAACAGGCTCCAGGCTCTGAGCTGGCAGTCAGCACAGAGCCCGACGCGGGGCTGGAAACCGCGAACCGCAAGATCATGACCTAAGCGAAAGTCGGACACTTAACCGACTAAGCCACCCAGGCGCCCCGAATTAATTCCTCTTTTAAAAGAAAGTCTTTTAAAAGACACTCAGATTGGATCTTATAGATAAGAAGAAAAATCTGAGTTTATGCTAAATACAGGAAATGCTTGAAGCAAAGTGATTCAGAAAGTATAAAGAAAGATGAGCAAGTGTGTGTCACGGAAAAGAGAATAAAAATAAAGTAGATTATGTGATCCTGATATCACATAAGTCATTATTTAACCTCCCAAAATTAATGAGGCAAAGACACTTTATAATGCCAAAGGCTAAAACTCAAAATGAAAATATAACAATGTGAAATGAAAATAAGCAGAAGAGCAAATTCATAAAGCAGGCATTTAAGAAATGAAACAATAAATAGCCAGGCACCAGTAATGAGGACTTCATCACATCCATCTTAGTCCTCAACAGATCAAACCAAGCACTGGCGGGCCACAGAAAACCTATATTCACATAATCAGTAATACATCA